CGCGGTGCCAAGGTGCTCTACACTCAGCACACGACGAGCGACGCGACCGTCTTGGTGCGCAACGCGAGCCAGCACGGCCAGCTCAATGGCACCCTCGCCCCCAAAAACTTTAGTCAACTCAGCGTCGTGCACGCCAACGGCAAGAGTCCGTTCAAGAACGCGGGGCGCATGCTCCAGTGCTGGAAAGACCACCCCGAGTTCCCGATCTTGCACCAGTACTCGAGCGACGACTGGTCCAACGGCACGTACAACGAGCTCTGGCGCGACAAGCCGCCGGCCAACGTCGACTTTCACTTTGGCAAGTACGTCTCATCTTTGGGCTTTGCAAAGATCTTGAACGACGCGACGGTGATTGTGTGTCCGAGTGCCATGGAAGGGTACCCTCGACTACGATCCGGTATGACTGACTCGCTCATCGAGTAGGTTTGGCCACTACATCAACCAAGCGCGCGCGGCGGGCGCCCTCGTTGTGACGACGGACGCGCCCCCCATGGACGAGTTTGTCGACGACGACTCGGGGGTGCTCATCCACGGCATCACGCCGTGGGCCGACAAAGCCACGATGGGCCAGAACTTTATGTTTGAAGTGCCGACGCGCGCCATTTGCGAGTCGATTCAAGACATCCTGGCCATGGACCCGCACGAGCGGGCGCGGCGCGCGGCCAACGGCGTGCGGCGATATTTCAAGCAACGACAGTATTTCAAACAGAGTATGCAGACGCTGCAAGCGATGGTGTATCAACGCTAATAGTCAATTATGGTTGCTTCCTTTCATTCCTATCCCTCGGCGAGTGGAGTCCACCGCGGGATGGATCTCTCCGTGCGCAGCTCACTTCCAACGACCAAGTGCTGGTGCCAGCTCCCTTCGCGTTCCGGCATCGAGTTAGTTTTTGCCAATTTGATTTCAATACGAACACGTTTGATTGATTAATTGATTGATTGATTGATTCCTTTCACTCTACAAGACGACATGTGCAGCTCGGTTCACATCAAATTGAGAGCGGCGACATCCCAATCTAGTTTGTGTACGTTGACGAGAGTCGCACAATGTCATTCGTTGTGTTTCTTCGTGTCGAGCGGGATCGACGGGAGGCTGATGGCAGCCACGCACGCTGTGGAGGACCTCGCAGTACTGTTGAAGGCGGTTTTTGAGACAGCTCCGACCCCAATTCTAGTCTTCGGTCACCAGTGCAGGCCGCGTAGTGACGACCTCGAGCTCGGTTGTGCTCGTCACGTCTCGCAGGATGATCAAAATGAAGTACAACAAATGTCTTTCCCATCGCATGGTTCTATTCAAGGTCGGGCTATTGTCGACCGACGGTGCTACGGTGCGGTGAGATCCACGGTCCACAATTGGCCGTCGTCCGTGGCATTGAGGGAGCTACTATAGACAATGTGGCCATCAAGAGGTCGAAAGTACTCGCGCCGTGTCATGTACTCGCCCTTGAAGTCTTTGAGCCGAATGTGCGTCTCACTCACGTCTTCGCACGTCCAGTGGGTCGACACCGACGCTTGCCACTTGGTATAGCGCTGCACGACCTGGTTGGCGGCGTTGCCACAGTTCTCGCAGCGGCTGTAGAAGCGGCCGGTGTCCATCTGGAGCCCAAGCGAGCCACCCGGGATCGTTGAGATCGTGATCGGATGCCACCACTTGTTGACGCGCGCTGGCAGCTTGTAGCTGTACGCGTCGAGTTTGCAGCCAACGCAGTACCCGAGGTAGTTTTTGGTGCTTCCGACCATCTGCGCGAGGTAGATCTTCTTGCCATCCACCAAGGTCTGGCAAATGGAGACCGGCGCCGGCGTCGTTTGTGCCGGCGTCGTCGGCTCCGGGGTCGTCGGCGTGCACGCGTCACGGGCGACGGCGCGGGCCAACGCTACAAAGCCAAGAAGGGACGCGAGTTGCATCGTGCGCGGTGCAATCGAAAATACAAAGTGACAAGGTGGCGCTGTCGCTACTGAAGACTATACACTGGTCAGCAACCTGTAAGTATAGAAGGAGCTAGAGAGAGGTCCGATCTGGTGCTGCCAGCATCCTACCACATCAAGTGTCGAAAGTGTCGCGCCATGGCACCCTTCTGCCAACACCTGGCCACACATCGTGCATATCAGCTTGTGAGCCACCCGAGCCTCAACCCCCGAATACAGGGTCCGACTGCTCCTCCAGATGTACGTAGATGACCTAAACATCGTCCATGTTGCTGCTGCAATTTAAGCAGATCATAGCCTCTGAAGGGACCTTGCGACTGGACGCAACGGGACACAGGATCGCTACGGCATTTTGTGAGCAGTTTTGGAGTTGTTGGGGGTGATGACGTAAGAAGTGATCGAGCAAGGAGGGGACTTGGGTCCAGAATGGAGCTTGCTCTAGTTGTCTGGGCACTTGTGCAGCATCAAAATGTGCCGCTCTGAAATTATGGAGTAAGCCTAGTTCGTGGACGACGAGACTTATAAAACAGGGTTTTTACGCGGTTCAATTACGTCAAGTACGAGAACGACAGGCCAACCGACAGGTCCGTAGAGTAGACGACGACGGTGCAGCGAACCTTTTTAAACCGAGACGTCGGTGGTTGGACTGGCGGCGGCTTCGTCGAGCTCCTTCTGCATCGCATCGGCTTCCGAGCCCGAAGTTGGCTGGTACTGGGGCTTCTTGGCCTTTCGGGGCCGACGGCGCTTGGCGAGCACGACAGCAAGCGCGACGACAACGACGAGCGAGATAAGGCCGATGGCCGCGACCACCGATGGTGTCAGCGCGGCCGCGGTCAATCCCTCTACAACGGCCCCTGAGTCTTGACATTTCAACGGTCCGACTACCTCGCGCAACCACCGAGGCGGCTTGGTCTTCCGTCACACGCACCGCCTTGGTCTACATAGCGTCGTGAGTCATTCTCGCAACGCTTGCACCAAGTTGTACGGTCGAGTAAAAGTAGGTTTGGCCTCGAATGCGGTATCCATTCGACGTCGCTTCGTATCTAGCCATTTGTATCGTTACTCGATATGCTGCCACGATGCATGTGCGCGCACGAGGGGTCGGTGCGTGCGTTCACAAGATGGCTCTGCGGGCGCACATGTGGCGACGGATGGGCCTGTGTCGCCCAGCCCTAATGCCGTAGTGAATCCTCCTTCGCTACACCTCTCTTTCGTGGTATCTACAATGGACAAACCTGGTCCACCATGGCGGCGACGCGGACGTACAAGGCGCCGGTCGCCGTTGCGTTCGTAGGCAGTGAAATGTAATCCATAAAGAACGGTCCATTCGACGCGTTCTGGCCCGCGGACGGCGGCGTCTCAGCGTGGACATAGTACCCTCGCCTACGGTTTTAGCAGTTGAGACACCCTTTTGCTTTGGCGCGAGGCGAGATGTCGATAATACCGGGTCCGGCCTTGGTGCGAGGGATAGGTTTGTGTCTCTACATAGAGAGATGAAAGGTTTTGACACAAATAGGTAGCGTGTCTGTACTCGAGGCCGGAAATTCCGGGTCGCTGGACACTTGGACGAAAGTTGCATCCACTTGAAAGCTACCGAGAACCTCCCACCCCACGCGGAGATGGGTCGTCGCCGCGGAGACGAGGCAGTCGTCGCCACCGAGGCAGTCGACGACCACGTCGCCCGAGCCTGCGGTCGGTGCCGCCACTCTGTTCCACTAGATGAAAAAAGGCTTGTCCGCCCATATATCCGTGCACGAGGTCCTACCTCAGACGTGGTTGCTAGCCAGCGAACGTACGGCTGCACCATATCAATGAGGAGCAGCCCAAGGCGGATGTTTTGAGGCACGTGGCCTTCCGGTGCGATCGCGAGGTCCTAGCCAGTGCGCGTCGCCATCTTGACTGCGAGAGAGACGGTTTACTTGAAGATCCGCGCTGTAGATCGCACGTTTGGCGCCAAGACTCGACGCCGACGGCTGCTTGGCATTGGAGGTTTCGACGAGAATGTTAAACGCGCGATGGGTCGCGTTATTGTAGACCGTCTTCTCGGCTGGGTACCCGCCGTACTGCGACGGCGTGCACGGCGTAAAAACGGGCTCTGCCGCCAACGCATTCTCCCACGACGCCGCATATCTACGACATAAAGTTGCGTGTTTCTCGACACACGAAAGTTCGTCGTACGCCCAGTCTTCCATGCCGCCGTAGACACCATAGACCACGTCGTTCATGGTGCCCGTCGGGTAGTACGCGCCGTCGGCGAATGGCCCGGCAAAGCGAGCGAGCGCATCGCCGAGCTGCACTTGGCTCGTGTCGTCCGGCGATCGCTCACTTCGGCCGCCTGCAGTTTCGAGCCATGAGCCATCATCGACGTCGAGGATATATGGCGCGTACTGGTCATGTGGTTGGGCGAACCCCACTCGTATGTCACGCAGCGCATGCCACCGTGAAAGGTCATGGCCAGCTGGAACAAGTGATCGCGCCAGACTTCGTTCACCGCGCGACTGCGTTTCTGTCAAGACCATGGACGTCCATGGGCGCGGTTACTGTACCTTGTCATGGCCTCCATGCAGTGGCCGTTGACCTTGTAGTTGTAGTCGCGGTTCGGGTCGATGCCATTCTCTTCGCGCGTGTGCTGAAAGTACCCGAACGCGTTGGTCATGGGCATGAGGTAGATCGCGCGCGTGTTGACGAGGCTACGCGCGCAGTGAGTGCGTGCAGTGGTGGCGCAGATGAGGACGTACCGCCAGATCCACTCCTGCGTCGAAAGCACGCTGGCGTCGTCGGATGGCGCGGTGGCGTACGCGTGAGCGTACGACGCCAGAAGCAGCGCGAGCTCGATCGTTGCCTGTGGCCCGACACGCTCGTCGCCGTGCAGCGCGCCGCTAAAGAAGACCTGCGGCCGGTCCTTCTGCAGCGTCGACTCGTTCGTAATGCGCAGCACGTACTGCTTGCACGGCGCCGGCGCGTTCTCTTCCTCGCATTGCAGCTCGGGCGGGTACGGCAGGCCATACCGGTCCTGCGCCACAAAGAGGTCCACAAGGCCCGGCGACGTCGCATTGAGCGTCTTCATCGTCGCGACCATCTCGGCGTACGTGCGATACGCAAAGACGTCGGCAGCGCCAGCGGCGCCAGCGAGCGCTAGCAGCCGCAAGACCGGGCGCAGCAGCATCTCCCTGCAAGTGCAAACTGGCGACCTGTGGCGGTATCCGGATAGTCGCACGCGTGGGAAACGCGATGCATTTTTCACGCGTGAAAAAGAACCCGTGTAATATGACGTGGCACATCATTAAGCACAGCAGTGCGGCAGCGAGCGCTTGATGCACCACACATCAATAAGTCCTCGAGAAAGACGAACTTGGGAACGCATTTCACCTGTTGCATGTGTGGGGCGTCACTAGGGGTCACCGTGGCTCGGCTCGGCTCGGCTTCGAGCCGGCTCGAAATCTCAAGCCTGAGCCGACCCCAAATGCTACGGACTCCGTAGTACGCAGTCCCAAGCATGTCGGTTGTCGCCACGCCGCGGCCAAGGACTTTGTTGGCTCTAAGGACACGGAACAGACAGTCGACGCACGCGATAACTATGCTAGGTACGGTACATTGGTGCGACGACAACCTCGTTCGTCAACGCTCTGTTCATCGAGGCTCCACGCTTGTACGCGTCGCATCGTCCATAGGCCTGTGTCCAGCGTCGAGAAAGGTTGTGGGAAAGCCCATCAGCTACTGCCACTCAATGCGCCGTGCACAACGCAATCGGAGGTGTTCCAAGCCAGTATGCCTTCCCAACTCGACTGCGTCGCCGTCAAGTGACCGAATGCGACCCTTGATAAACACACGGAGCGTCCTACCCGCCAAGCCTTCGCTTTTGCCCCACCAACGATGCGGCCTCGGTCATGCTCGCCCGTGTTTAGAGTCGTTGAACGTGCAATGTCGTGAACGTTGGTCGGTACATGCTGCATTCTCATTGGTTGCTTCGATTTTTTGGCGGATCGCTGATTGGCTCATTTGAGAAAGTCCGTCCTCGTCGCCCACAGTCCATGAGCGCAAGCGTGGGGCTCGTCCTTGGCGGCGGCGTCTCGGTCCTCTTTGGCCGCGTCTTTTATGCGCTCCGCGACGACGCCCTCGGTGGCGTCGACGTCGTGCGCGCGAGCCTTCCGTTTGACTCGCTGCCGCCTGTGCCAGCAACGCCAGGTACGACGGCGTACGTGCAGTTCACGGGCCGCCTCGCCCGCGTCAACCAGCCGCTCTACAAGAGCGCCCTCGCCCGGCGTGTCGAAGCCGGTGCTGCCGACGCCATCCGCATTCGGTCGGTGACGTACCAAGTGACCGAAGAGGTCGGCCGCGACGGCCTCGTCTTGCAGACCGAGCACCAAGTCGCATCGTCCGAGGTCGGCGGCAACGTGGCTGTCGACGCGCACGATGGCCGCCGCGTCGTGCTCAGCCACCCGTCGTACTTTAGCATGCTCTACCGCAAGGGCGAAGACGCCTTCGCGCCGGCCAAGGACACCAACATCTCGGTGCTCGGCGGGGACGAGCCGCGCCGCAAGACGCTTGGGTACCGCACCGCCGAGCGCACGATTCCCAACAATGACGTGGTGTCGGGCATTGGTATCGTCGAGAGTGCGCTCGTGTACGGCGAAACCGGTGCGCCGACGCTGGCGTGGACGCTGGCGCCGCCGGGGCACCGCCATCTGCAAGGCCGCCCGAGCTTTGTCGTCTACGGCGGCCACGAGGGCCTCGTGCAACGCCAAGAACGGTCGGCCGATGCCCTCGGCGCTGTCGGTGCGATGTTTACCGTCGTGGGCCTGGCCATGGTCATGGGCGGCGGGTATCTCTTTTGGTCGCAGCACGTGGGGTCCAAACAGTAGTCCATAATGTACGAAAACACCATTCGAAGCATGTACATACTTCAAGATTGTATTCTTACACTTTGTCTATAGAACGGGGTGCAATAAGAACCGCTTGCGGCAGCTTGCGTGGGCTGTGTCCAGCACGTTGATTTGTGTTGTCAAGGGAAATCAATGTATCTCCCTTGCTTTTGTGTACGACCACTTGAGACGCGACCTGTCTAGCTGCCGTGTACAGGCTGCAGGAGCGAAGGCGGCGGAAATCAACCCGCCGGAATCATCATTAGCAAGCTTTCACACGGAACGCATACATGTTGTCGCCTACACAAGTACGACAATCAACAAGTTGTATCGACTCCCTCGCACTATTAGTAGATAGCACTAGGTGCTCGATCTTGATGTGTGGGGGTGCTCTAAATAATGAGCGGAGAGGCCTTGCGGCAGGGGTAGAATAATGAGCAGAGGGAAGAATGAGCGGAGGGCAATATCGTAGTACTAGTAGATAGTATGGGTTAGCTATGATAGCGGGACCCACAATCGAGGACAAGTGAGTGTGGTTGGCAGAACGTGCACACAAATGACGGACGCCCTGCTGCTTTCACCATACAGAAAAATGGTGCGGATGACTGTCATGAAGGATTACGAGGTGATACAACTTCGGAGATGCACTACGGGCCGGCAACGTGACAATCCAGGCGATACGCTCGGCGACGGCTTGCGCTTCGCGTTGGGTAATGGTGGTGTCGTTGTCACCGTCCATGTGTAGCTGTCCGTCGGACGTAGACTCCCCGGGCCTTGATTGCCCCCTCCTTGGGCACGCGCGATAGCATCAGAGCGTCGGTCGCATATTTGTTCTTGAGAAAGGAGACAATGGCCTTGGGACCCATGCCACCGACGAGCAGCAAGTCGACTTCGTCGCGGATCGATGGGTTGATGCCTTGACGGACGAGCATCGAGAACTCGGTACTGTGTGTGCCCGTAAACTCGACGGCAAACCGAGTAGCAGACTCGGTCGCCACCACGCGACCCCGTCGTCCGCAGTTCGCATGCGTGATGCATTCGAAGACCGTGACGCGCTGGTTCGTAAGGCCCGAGGAGTGTCTCGTTTTGAACTGGTTCTCGTCGTGGGCATGGAGACGAGCGATCGCTTCCTTCCTGCTCCTCCCGTGGTCGACCTCGACGTATGCCCCGCGTGCACGTGGGCTACCGCCCGAATCGCCGTGCAGCTCGCGAACGAAGCGGCCGTACGCTGGATTGTGATGGCGGCACGTGTGCCGGCTCCTCTCACAGGCCCTTGCTTCGCGGTCCTTTGGTGCAGCACTTGGAGGCGGCGACGTGGCGCTATCGACGTGCTTGCCCGTCTTTCGGTAGGGGCATGAGTCTCGACGCATCGCGCATCGCTTCGTGGCCGAGGGCATTGCGTTGCAGCACGCTGAGACGGCGCCTTCCGACGCGGCTGTGTGCTGCGAGAGCATGAGGCTGAAAGCATCGGCCGCGTCTTCTGTGAACTGAGCGACATGGTCCAAAAAACAGCCATAGCAGACGCCGACATGCCGTCGCTCGCGGCGCCGTGGGCTCGAATGGCCCGCGACTCGCGGTACAGTGACGAAGCAAGGTATTCCAGCCGCGACCCACTCGGCTAGAACAGAGTATCAACCACGATATGTGTAACATGGATACCCACAATGTCGTTATCGTCTTGGACGAGAGCGTTGGCCGGCGCAGGGACACTGCTATTCGTCGCGCCCTCGGTCGTCGAATTCTATGGAAGAAACAATAGTACTCCATCGATGTTGCAAAGGGCTCCGTGTACCTCATCATCGTCGCTCGAGTCTATCTCAATGACATCAATCGCTGCAGTTGGAATCGAGGTCATCGAAGCAGTCGCCGAGGGTACCGGACCCGCCGTGGAGGTTGCCGGAGCAGCCGTTGAGGCCACTCGAGTCGGAACTGCCGCGGTTGTCGGTGGCACGGTCGAGGTCGCCGAGGTAGTACGGGAGAGAGCGAGTCGGAGGGCAGAGGCGCCGTGGCCGTTGAGTGGCCCGGCATTGCGCTTGGATACCTTGTAAAGAGAGTTGTGGGCCTTCTTCAGCTTTGTTTTCTTGATGCGACCAGCCATGGTAATTGCAGAATGCCATCGCGGGCAATTTAGAAGGATATTATAGAAGGATGGAAGGGAATATGCTAGCCAGGATTCCAGTCCATGAAGAATCGAAATCAGAATCTACTGGTGCTACGGTATTCATTTTCCCTCCACTCATTGTCCTGCCCCAGCCGCCAGACCACCACTCCGCTCATTACTCTGCCATTTCACCTTGGAAATCTTCGCTCATTTTTTCGGCCGAAATCGAAATTACGCTAATTTTTCGGTCATTTTTCGGCTCGCTCTTTCTTCATTGCTCATTCTTAACAAATACTACAAACAACAAGCCTTACTGACTCCCTGGCACTAATGTCAGAACATCACACGTACTAACATGTAAGTCCAAGGTGCCGGATTTTACAAACGACGGAACGGCATATCTGATTGGCTCCTGAGACGCATCGACCCTCAGGTATGAGTTGTTGTTGAATTGGGTCCTCTATTACAATAGATAAAACTATGCTAAATAAAATTGTCGGACTTTCTTCGTTGTGTGTACTCGGTTGAGGGACTTGATTTAGGCAGGCGGAGGCAGGAGCG